TTGTGTCATTTATTTTGCTAATTTTTTTTTTTACAACCTGCGTCATTCACTGACATCAGCTCTATTTCCTAAGAGGAAAAAGTTGATAGATGATCAGACACTTTTAGCTTATTTTTAATATTGAAGATCGAAGGTGATCGAAGGTAATCGAAGGTAAGTAAGTTGTGTATACAAGTAAGAAATTTTAATAATCATACACGGCTCAGAAGTGAATAATTAATCCTAATGTATGCTATGCTATAGTATTCACTAAAGTGTGAAGAAAAAACCGTGTTGTTCATAGTTCCTTCATCGGTATAGCTGAGTGTACAATCACGTAAGGCTGAAAATAGGAGCAAACGCTAACATTCCAATGGAAAAGAAAGGAAAATTTATTTAGGAACGGATGTCACGTGTACAAAAGATTGCGCAACAAGTCTCGAGGAAGTTATTGTGGTGCGTTGCATTTCCACTTCCTTACGTGTACTTGTGACTCATGCGCCAAAGCACAACAAGTCACCGGGTAACAAGTGGTACACGAAGAGAAAAATCATGGAGCAAACGCATAGCGGCGATGTAAATGCCCCCCCCCCCTTTTTTCACCCTATACGCCATTGGCTCACGACGTCTATGCTTTCAACGCAAGTGAGTAACCCCTGACTTTGTTTTACGTGCCACTGCTTCTTGTACTCACGTGTTGATCGAGTAAAAAAATTCTACCTCCCTTTCTCATCATCCCACCGAAAATAAGAGTTTTTCGGTATATTTTTCGTTCAAACAGTCGGAGAAAAATCTCTTCTCACCCTATTCATCATCACCTCCACGCACGAGGCCACAAATTCGAATATCAAAAGACAAAAGACGCTCCTCAACTGCAGCGAGAGTGTCAAGACGGAGGGAAAAAAAATCGCTTCAAGACGCACGCACACGCGTACATACATACACGGAGAGTGAGCGTGAAATTCGCGAGCGAAAGAGAAAAATTGCGAGGGAAAAGGGGCTGAGGGAGAAACCCGTAGTGGGGGGGGGGATACACATCCCAGCCGAAAACGAAACAATGCCGTACCCACTGCGCTGCATATATGTGTTAGTATATAAGTACAATTATTCTCACGGGGCCGCTGGTACAATACTTGCACTCCACGAAAGCGAACCCGTTCCTTTTCGGCGCACTACACGGTATGTATACGTGCAGGGCTCAGCTGCCGAGTTATACGTGTACAGCGTCTTTATCATCGACTCCCGTCGCGCACTTCCTTTCCCCCCCCCCCTGTTGGTTCTCTTTTTTTTTTTTTTTTTTTTTTCCATCCCCTTCGAAATGTCGTCTTTCACGCAAACCAAATTTACATCAGCGGTGTATAGGCAGGAAGCGATGGGAGGCGCAATCTTGTCTTGCGTCATGCCGGCGAATTTGGTCGTTACTGCCGGGTTTTTTTTCCCCCCCTTTGCCATGTACCCTACTATGTGAGAACGAGGGATATATATCAACGTTTTAAGTTGACGCAAGATGAGACTAGATGTTTGGTATATGTTGATGTTTCTTTCGATTAACGACATCTCACCGCTCGGAGATGAAATTTATTTACTTTGTAAAATATTCCTTGCGTCGCCGAGCACTTGTATTGCAAACAAACACACGTTCGGGAGAACGAAAAAAAAAAAAAATTCAAGCCCGAGAGAAGGTTATTTTTGTTTTTTCAGCTGATGCACGTACATCCGTATGCTCGGGGACCTTGCCAAGGAAGCTCGGATATCATTGGTTGGTGTACCTGAGACCGAACAATTTTGGGTACATTGTACACCGAACAAAAGCAGTGACAGCTGGTCGCACGTTTATTTACTCTCCGTACAAAGAAAAATTATAATGTGTACGTTAAACGAGGTAACGCTGGCACGGCGTTTATAAGTTGACACGCCGTGTATCTCTCCATGTACGAAATATCTTCACGAAGGAGAAAACTTCTGAAACAGCTCACGCCGGAGCGTAAAATTAAGTATCATTTTCCAACACCCTCTCCTTTTCCCTGAAAAATGTTCAAACAAACGCGCGTAAGCGCTCGCTCGCGGGTCGTTAATTTCAAGTTTTCTCGATCCCTATACTGTACGTTTTTTTTTTTTTTTTTTTTTTTTTTTTTTTTTTTTCCCGCCGAGAGCAAAGCCGATATAATTAGTCGCGAGATTCCGTCGCTTTCACGCGAGTACTGCACCACGAATCTCAGCCGTGAGCTACGAGTTTCTCCCGTAAACGCCTGCGCGGAGAACGTCGCCGAAGGATTATCACGCGCTTAGGAACAAAGAGATTTGTTTTTTTTTTTTTTTCTTTGCTTATGCGTAAGAACACATCGAATCGAAAAGAACAATTTTGTATTCCTTGTCGTTCAAAAATCTGCAAAGAGCCAGTCACGTTTATGTAATACACGACAGTTTCGATCAGATGTATCGGCGATAAACTATACACGTATAACAACGCCGATTACGTGTACCCACAGGTGCCTGTATAATACGATTCGCATCTTTGCCAAGAAATTAATTTCATCGCCCCCACACAATGGGTACATCGATACACTTTGATTGCACAGATCTTCCATCTCAAAGATTTATCTCATTGGGACACCAGAGTGTATACCAATACGCGTTCTTGCAACCTTTTTGAGAGAGAAAATGTTGAATATGCTCTCGAGGAATGCGCATCACCCGTACTTGTTGTTCGATTGACCTTTTGCACCGCGCATGGGATGCACTTGAAGGAAATATATATGGTCCCGCGCGCATCGCTCGCGGCCTTTCGTAATCTCTCTCTCTCTCTCTCTCCCCCGTTCATTTGCGCGCCCACGCTCATAGGTTCCATTCACCTCGTCCCTCCCTCCTCCTCTGACCACATTATTATTTGACGTATGCGTTATACACCAAAGGCGAAAGAGCACTATATAGGTTCGCGTGGATGCTGCGGATAGCCCACCTCCCGGATACTTTCGTCACGATAGCGCGACGCGGACACGAGAAAAGCCCGTTTCCTCCTTATTGAGCCATGTCTGTGTTTGCCCACGGCGCTCGCAAGGTGTGTTCATTGTTCGTTTCTTTCTTTCTTTGGCGGTGATGGTTGCCGTTGCCTTCCCACTATGGAAATTCCGATGGTGCAGCTTTGCCGACGAGGGGGGAATCAAAAAATAAAAGTACTTACAAACGGGGGACTTTTGGTAGATTTCTGAGTGATAATCTATAATGAAACGAGGAAGAAAACTTTTAATAACGCGTCCTGAGTTTCGCGGAATACATCAGATAACGTTTCGTAGATTATACATATAATATATGGTTGGCGAGCAAGTGTCGGGTGTGTGTGCATAAGTCACTACCATTTCGAAGGTATATTTTTGTCATGTATTGTGCAGAGTTAAGTATAATTATTTACGGCAAAAGAGTCGATAAATTTTTATTGACTTTGAATAACGATCTCATATTTATACCGTATACGGAGAGATCCCATTGATCGATATTACCGATGTTTTTTTTTTTTTTTTTTTTTTTTTCAATAGCTAAGAATATAGAAAAAATTGTCTTTCGTATACCTCGTGCGGCGCGCGTTGAAAATATTACAATGAAAAGGTTGGCTTATCGAGACTGCGAACGTAGTGGAAAGATATTATTATCGATTGCGACTGATAACTCGGCGTGAATATAACCGATTGATCAAAGTTGGAAACAAGAAATGTTGTGAGCACAATTGCTTTGTGGCGGTGTATTTTTAATCGAGTTTATGCCAGGCGGTTGGAGTAAAAAAAAAAAAATGTGATTCAATGATCGAAGAAAAAATACCCTCGCCAATTCTTTCATCTCAAATTTTAGTCATTTTAGGCGGGTATCGACACTCGTACGCACACGTTTGAATCATGCACACTTTGCGCATCGAACCAAACTTTACCGAGATATGGAAAACCATGTTCGGCTCCACTTTTTTTTCCAAAGAATGCTTATCAACTTTCTTTGGCTTGACTTTTCTTGTGATTTTACACACGCGTTAAGTAATTTCCAACCATGGCAATTAACGATATATTTTTTCAAATATTTAATGTAGATTTATCATTGACGGTTTTGTCACAATGGGTAGAACAAATTCGCAAAGCTCTTACGTTTAACTCTATGAATGTGACACATCGTTCGAGTGTTATATTATAACGCGTGAAAAAACTAAAACGTTGGAAAATGAAAGGAAACACACAAACGACGTTGTCTCGTGAAAAAAAAATTTTATTCAATGGGTTCTTGTATGTCAAACACCACATGATGAGCGTCAATCACCAAATATGTCTCTATCATTAAAAACTCATTAACCCTATCTCGCGCTTGCAATCGCACCTGTTTAAACCAATTTTTTTTTTTTTTTTTTTTTTACTTAAAAAACAACGAAATTGGCAGCAAAGTCACGTAACGAGTGACGCGAGCAAGGAAAACCTCTCGCTCCGGTGGATTTAACAACATTTAAAATACTTACGCCATTCGCGGTGCACAAGGCTGACGCACGAATCGGCTCTTTAATCGACTTTGGGAAGCTTTTCTTTCAATCGGGACTAGCCACACATACGTGTGAATTCGAAAAAAAAAACAATGCCAAACAAAACGACGTCCACAGCCGATGGGCAGTTGGGACGAGAAAAAAAAAATTTCCGCGAAAAACATCGCAAAAAAATCTCGGCTTTTTTTTTCCTCTCGTATTATTGAACGTCATCCTGCTTTTTACACCTGCACCGGGAATCTCCAATCTTAAGTAAACAACAGGGCAATTAGACATATAGGAGTATACAATGACGCGACGATGTATATAATAACCACCTTCTTTTTACCTCGAGCTAAATTTTCCAGCGCCAAACGGGCATAAAAAACACGCGTTATACACTCCAGAATCCACGCCGATCTCGATCGATGGATGAAGAAAAAAAAAAAAAAAAAAAAAAGAAGGATTTTCCTCATCGTCACTCAAGACACACTATTAGTATTCATAAAAATTGAACAAAAACACCACTCACCCTGACGAATCTCCGGACGTAAGTCCCATCGTCAAAGTCGCCGGCAACGATCGGGACGTTCATGCTTGCCTCATATTACGCCCAGCTTCCCCGGATCCTCTTCTCTGTATATATATACCACGATCAAACAACACACCGGCCAGTACAACCGACTCACTCCTCCTCCGTATATATATATATGTTGTATTGTATATGGACACACAAAACTTTCTCAATAGATCCTCGACTGCAATAAAATGTATCACAACACGAGATCGAGAGATGACAGAAAGTTGTCACGCACTTGAGACATGTATTTTTTTTACATCACTTTCCCCAAAAATCCCCACACTCGGGGAGCACTCCACCGCACAGAGAAAGAGCTTATGTAGCTTCGATCGGCGTATAATATATATATATCCATGTACAGCAACGTCTTCTCGGATAAACAGTATATAATAATTACAAGGACACACAACCGAGCGGCCTCAGCGGCTCACCGGTTCCATCATCCGACTCCTACTACTTCGCGTCGTCGGGTATAGCCGTCGCAAAGGTATACACATTATATTTTTGTCGCGAGCGCACGCGCGCGCGCCCCACACGATTACCTGTGTTCCATACCAATGGATAGGTATATAAGTAATATTATACACTCCTTATCTCTTGATAAATGTGTGCATTGGACGCGTATATAATGTAGGTATATACCCGCTGGTACATGGAAGACCCGTCACTCGCGCACTTGGGGGGTCACAGACGCGCGTTACCGATTTTCAGTTGGAAAATCGGTACGATTTGTGTGCTTATACAACGAGTGCTCCAAAATACACAGAGCGCAAAAACAGAACGTCGCTAGCCGAGCGAGCAATGATCCGTGAACGTGAGTAGGTAAGTGAGCCGTGTGGCCACAACAGCCAAAGTTGGCTCGTATACCCACACACATATTGTATACGTGTACACGGCGCTCGGTTGCGCGCTTCGAGTTTTCGAAAGGGGGCGCCCTCTGTGTTTCACGTGCGGGCGAACACGCGAAGCTAAAACGAACGACGTGACGTGTCTGTGTGTGTCGCCGATCTCTTCTCCGATTCAATCCCCACTCGCATTTTGGAGCTGCCGGGATGGATGCACCGTGAGGCGCTCCGATCTGCCTTTCGCTCTCTCTTTCGAGTGGAACGTGTTGGGCTGCTCCGCCACTCGAGCTCTCCACGGATGAATGCCTTTCCACCATAGCGGTCTGATCGATTCAGCGATCGATACGTGCTGAATTTACACCCATTGAAAAGCCATTTTGCGCGTTTTTGGATAAGTGACGCACTGCCGATCTGCCAACCGATTTCACCCGTTTTTTGTATTGGGTTCAATGCAAAGATCATACGAACGTGGACAAAAACATCGAAACCGCGAGTGAGCGTGGGTGGACAGTACATATATATACACACGGAGTGCAAAAATAATGCAAACTGGATTCCCGCCCGGTAAAGGTATATGTATATATATATAGCATATTGAGCGAGGTAATGGCATGCATTTTGCATGTATAGAGGGGCGCAAGCGCATAATGTGGAGCTCGATCGTGACTCGCCGACGCGGTTCTCCTCCTCGCGAGCTTTTTCGCGCTACATGTATACGTATATTATATTATGTGTACATCAGATGTATACTTTGTACAATACAGGAACGTATCGCGATCGTTATGGAGCCTGGGCTTCTCTCGTGTACCGATTACGTGAGTGTCGACGATTAGCATTCGGTGTAGCACATTGGCTGTGTCTATGCACCTAAGTATTACTGTACCAACCAATGATTGGGATGTTTGAGGATTGTGTGATACGTACTTACAAGAAAAATGCGCAAATTACTGTTCCTTTTGTTTTATTCCTTTTGTACATTTTTTAGGGTAATTTAATCGCAAACTGATAAAAAAATGGTTTGTAATGTGCATCAACCTTCAACTCGTACTCTCTTCCTCTGTTTTGCAACAACAGGTACTCACGGCCGAACCGAAAGCTCACTACCTACTGCAAACATGTTTTCTTCAAAAGAAGATCAAACATTTGCTCTCCCGATAAAAAAAAAAAAAAAAAACTCGATCGTAATGTTTTATCGCGTTGAAAAACAAGATAAGAATGGAAATAAAAAAAAAAAAAACGTATAAGCTGCTGCCAGTTGTACATCGCCTCCTAGACAATTAACCTGTTTTTTTTTTTCATGCATTGATTGAAAAACTCCTAGAGAGAGAGAAAAAAAACAACAAAAATATTTGAACACGCATGCAGGGGTGGATCACCGGAACTTGTAAATCTTGAGCTTGTATCGCAAACAAAAGTAAGTGATGACGTGCAAAACGACGTAAGTGCTGACCAAGACCAACGGCGATGACCAGTAACTCGTTGGGCTGACATTGAGCATCGACAAAGTCGCCTTTGGCGACGACAGGTGACAATAATCGGACAAGCATTTCATGCGCGGTCTGTCAAACCTGAAACACAATCATTGTTGTATGGTTACCGGTTTTTTTTTTTTTTTACAGCAAAAATACACCTTTGAAACAACTAGCTCACCCGAATATGGATATCATGAAAGTGTCGTAGGCGTACTTGAATATGGAAACATCGTACGTCCAGTCCAGTATGGGCAGTACATCCGCCCTGCGCATAAACATCCCGCTGAACAGCACGGGGGGCATTATTGAATACGGACCAATGAACACCACGTTCTACGACGAAAAAAAAGGAAAATTTGTAAAAAAAAAAAAAATGTGGAGTAGATACGTTAAAAGGTGTGAGACCATCCTTACCCTGACGTTGAGTAGTACGCTTATCAGTAGCCCCATGGCCTGATTGACGAGGGCTATGGCAACGCTGTTGAACACAAGGTAGCCGAGCCTGTGGTACTCGGGTAGCTGATCGCTCATGTGCCAGGTTATGACGGTGTAACCCGAGACGGCGATCGACACCAAAATGAAGCCCATAATTTTTGTCGCTATGTATATCGAGTGCAACTTGTACCACTTGTTGAAATGTTCCCTGGTTATTTTTGGCAGCTCCTCCGGGACTGAAAGCAATTGATGCCGGAACAAGACCTATTTATCCGCACTTGTCCAATAAATATTCAAGACATTGGTACTTGTCTCGTGACTCCGAGGCGTTTAAACGAAAGGTATGAAAAACACTGTCAAAGTTATGAAATATTCATGCGACTTACAATGAGTTGGAAGAATTTTCAATCGAGTTTTCGCAGTCTCGCGGATACTTATACACGTATCGGTGGTGATAAGTGAAACGCGACAATTTATTGCATTATGGATTTATAAAGTGCAACATCTCGGTTACCGCGGCAAATAAACATTTATCATCTCAATTGTGAAACTCATAAATACCAGAAGTACCTCAATCATGAAAGATAAAAATACCAGGTCTATGAAGCTACATTGATTGGTTGTACTTTGTTGTCAAAGGTGTATTTTTGCTCCTCGTACAAACAACTGCGTAACATCGTGATCGATAAATCTCGACTCGTTCGATGTAACTTTTGTCCCCGAAAATAAAAAAAACACTCCATCAAAGTTTTTCTTTCCCAAAACCAACATAACGTGTACACCCTACATGTGATCAGCGCCGCGTTGATGGCGCAGAACGAGATGAATATCAAGTTGAAGTTCATCTGCTTGACGTTTTCCAGAGACCGCGCCGCGTCTTGTCCCACCTTTTGAAACGTCAACCCAGTGACGATCGCCATGACGAGATGCGCCACCAGAATCTCCATTATGTACATCTGCGAACCGACCAACAAACCCTCAGTGATTAGGGACCACCTGATGGGGAAAAAAAAAAAAAAAAAAAAAATAGTTACCCTGTCGCGGTAGGTGACCCGCATGTACCGCCAGAGCAGCACGCGAATCTGCGCCAAAGTACCGCTCGCGTAGCGCCTGCCCGACTCCTTCCCTCCGCTCATCTCGAGCAGTGCCGATTTCGGCGAGTCTAACACCAGCCGAGCGTCCGTCCCGGGGTTCCGGTACCTAGAGCTGCTCCCGTTCTTGATGGCCTGCGACATCCTGGCTGTGTGGTCGCCGTACTCCCCACTCGCCGCCTCCAGCACTGCGTGGGACACAAAACGCACACTTTTATGCGTGTATGCGTATACTCATCGCGGTCGCGCGCGTCAAACTCACGGAAATCGGCGGGGTTGTGGTAGTTGGGGCAACATAGGCCAAGCGCGTTGAGGTACGGCCGCACGTTGTCCGGACTGCCCGTGTAGACGCAGTGGCCTTTGGCGATCACGTAAAGGTTGTCGAGTAGGGCAAACAGACTGGCGCTCGGCTGGTGGATCGTGCAGATGATGGTGCGACCGGAGTACGCCAGGGACTTGAGCAGCTCGACGCACTGCCTTGTAGTGACGCTGTCCAAGCCACTATGTACGCAATACATTCGCCGGGTGGAGCGATTTGAAAACGGTATAACTGGACAACGCGAGTACGCGGTGTGTTTTTTTCATGGCGATTTTAACGCCTCGGAAGTGGGTTATCACTTACGAGAATATTGGTTTTAATGATAAACACATTTTTTTTTTACCTTTCGAAAAAGAAAATTAACAAAATCTCGAGGTGGCAAAGCTGCGTTAGATAGTGCAAGAAAAAAAAAAAAAAAGAAAAAAAGTTTAATAAAGTACTCATTTTTTCGCGTACAAGAGATTACTGAGCGCGTATTTCATTTCAGGCATCGAAATCTCTGTGGACTACGAAATAACATCCGTGTTATTCAAATGATCCTCGGCAATGTGAATAATTTTATATAAGCAATCAAATCACCTCATGATCATTTATATTTTTACCGAAGTAAATACTTTTGGACATGTAAAAAAAAAAAAAAAAAAACAATGTAGAAAAGATGTATACGCGAGACTCGTGATAAATTGCAACGTGTTATTCAAACGTGAAGTTTAACGTAAATTTTTCAGTTAACCCGTCCAAGAATTCATTAGCATTGGGATTTTTTTTTTTTTTTTTTTTTTTTATATAGGTATAACTGACCTCGTGGGTTCATCAAAAAACATGATCGGCACATCGCTCACTAATTCCATAGCGATGGCGAGCCGTTTTTTCTGCCCGGTGCTGAGACTGCCCGCATACGTCGATCGGACTTCGTGCAAGCCCAGATCTCTCAGCAGCACGTTTATCTGAAAAAATGATAATGATTTTTTTTTTTTTTTTTTTCAATTGTTTTAAAGTTCATTCCATGACGATAAGCACAGTGTATTGCAAAGGCTGCACGTACTCTTTTCCTCTTGTCCGACGAGGATGCGCGGAGTTTGAGCTCAGCCGCTACGTGCATGGACTCCTGGACGGTCAGCAGATCGTGCATCACGTGATTTTGCATAATGTAAGCCTGCGATCGGCGGAAGGCGCTCCGATTCCGGAGGCTCCCGTTAATCATGATGTCGCCGCTCACAGATGTGGTTCTTGCGTTGTGAATTATTTATATATATTTTTTTTTTTATATTTATCGAGTGGGACAAAAGGAATGAAATTAGTGCTCGGACGAGGGACTCACACGAATCCGGCCAAAATATCCATGAGCATGGTTTTTCCGGCACCAGAAGGTCCCATGATGGCCGTGAGCTCTCCCGCTCGGAAATTGCCGCTCACGTTGGACAGTAATTTTTTCCGTTCTGTAAAAAAAAAAAAAACACCGCGAGTGATATGTCATCGGATGATGACTTAGAATCTGTTGCAATTGGCTTGATAACAACAGCATCGTCATTTCGGTGCGTAATCTTTTGGCGGGATGAAACTTAAATAATATACGCGCGCACGGTACAGGTGGATTATCCATCAATCGTTGAAGAGATTTTCAATTAAATACGATAAGATTTTTTTAATTGATTTGATTTATTTTTTCTGATTCATAATTACGGGTGCGTCTTTGAATGAAATGTGCATCGTTTACCAGACGAAAACAACGAAGATCTGACACTGTAGCTTATTTCACTGAAAGACAAATCGAGGCGCTTTGCGTTATTCAAGGTAACAAGTTTCCCATCGTCGCGATTATTGATCACTTTGGCGTCCACCTCCAAGGCTAGCTCTGCCTTTGAAACGTCCATCATCGATTTTTAGACTGTTTTTGTCCTGCGATTCATTGATATTCATCAACTCGCCCAGTTCAACTAAAACATTCACGATACAATATTTCAAAAAATTAAGGATAATAAATATTTGTGGTTTTTTAAAGGAAGATCGGCGAAAAAAAAACAATGATCCGCTTGTATTAGGTAGAAATAGCAAATTTAGAAATTTTAATTATTACAAACAAGTTGAAGCAATAGACTTTGATAGTTACACTGATGACTAAGTTGATTGCATTAACTTGGAATTTGCAACTATCAAGCATTAATAATATTTATTAAAAAACGTTTTCTTGGTGACACCTACCAAAAAAAAAGTTTTCAAAACTTACCCTCACGAAATTGAGTTATTTTTAGCAACAAGCCCACAAAACGCAAGTCTAAATACCCGCAATCCTATCGTCCGCGAGTGTCGAATGCGACTGCAATGCCATGTATAAGCCGATCATTCTGACTCGCGTGCACGCGAAAACTGCCACCGGGAAATAGATGTTTCTTTCTCTGAATCCGAATAGACGATTCTTGCTAGAAAATTATATAAGGCATTTAAACACAGAGTGCCGTGGTGACAAAAAAACAACAACCAGATGGTTAGACATTTAAAAAAACATGCTCGATGTAAAAACAAATCTAGAGATGGAGTTTTGAAAATAATAATTATCATTCTGAAGTTATGCAAATTTTGATTAATTTTTTACTCTCTACTATACCACAAGCAGGGATATACAATTAACAGCACTATTTATTTCCGTCAATGCAAGTAACTCACTTTTCCCTTTGGTTTTTATCCTATATTTTAAAAGATTAATTGTCACGTGGCTGAAGCCTTTTTATTCTTCGTAAGTAATTGACACAGGTCGATTGCGTTGTTTGGCGGGATTTTTCATAAATGAATTGCACTATAAAATACAAAGAAAATTTAAAATGGAATTAGCTTATCATACAAATATAATCAAAAGTAATGCAAATGTAATTAAGTTTAAAACTACTTATTTTTTTTTTTATACTCTGAAAAAATACATTTATGCCAAAAACTTTATTCGTTTTTAGTTAAGACAAAATAAAATTGCATGTAGTTTTGGAATATCCCTTACATAAATTATACTTTGTCGTATAGATTTTTTTAGAAAAAATATTTATAAATTAATACTCGATTATTCACACGACGATATGTCGTTAAAACTGAAAATTGTCTTGAAAAAAGCATTAGTGTAATTCTTGGTAACATGAATGTTTTCAAAAGTAAGATTTAAACTATGTTTATACGTTAATAAAGACAAAAAGAATGAACGAAATGGTGTGCTCCTTATGTAATGTGGTATGCTTATTGGATTGTATAAAAGAGTTTGAAAGGAAGCGCGTCTTCAGCACAACTAATTTGTTTTAAAAAAGAAATTGCATGTGCCGTTCACCCACCGGAAAGACTCTCCCGAACCTCCTAAAAAAAGTTATGGGTCGCTGTTTTAAATCGCGATTTGATTGGCCGTCGATGTTTTACTTCATTGGGAAGTTTGTACGTCTTGCCTTTTGCCACATACAGGTATACTATTGTATTCTATTTTGGTGGTAAGCGATTACCTACATTATCAAAGGAAAGCAAATACTATTATACACTTACTAATTGGTTATCGATAACGAATAGACAACGCTGCCATGATTGAGCCTCCGACCGCGTGGCGGCAATGAGTCAAATAATTCATAAATATCATTAAGGTTGGCTCCCGCAAGTGGCGAAAAAAGTGTTTGGTTAATATAAATAGACGAATCAACTTTTTTTCGTCAGAGATGTGTGCACACTGGCTCTGACTCACCCACGTGTACGGCTCGGTTTGAATGGTTTTCTACTGTTGAAAGACGTGTAGTAGTAGCCCACCGGGACCGTTCTCGCACAGGTAAGTATAAGGTAAGTATAAGGTAAGTAAAAGGTAAGTTGAACGTGGGTTGGCTTGCCGGTGAGTACACATTTTTTTTTTTTTTTTGCAATTCTATTAAATATTTATTCGTTATTTATAAAAAAACAAGTGTCAATAAGGGACGCAACTAGTTTTAATTATAAAAATAATTGTTTATCCAACTAACTAAAGGAAGTATCAAGGAAAACGTGGCAGTAACATCTTTATTCACCGTTTTCAAAACTATCAATGCCAATAATTATTTAGCATGAAGCAGCCCGGGCACATGGGTTTGTCCAAATATTAATTGACACATCCATACATCATACTGCTCCTTCTACCTTTAATGCAAATTTGTCAATGTACTTGAAAAAATCTCGGCTGACTTAAACATTGCTAATCAATTGTTCTTAAACATCTTTGTGGCATACATAATTGTTAAAAGAATCAAAACAGATTTACACAAAATAGTTGTATTTATTTATGTTGTTTTCACAATTCAAATACAAACAATAGAAATAAAGATAAATACATTTTGTTTATTGCTGTTCAACTTCATTGTGTTTTTTTTTTTTTCTCTGACTTGGCATTTCAGTTACATGCTTTGCACTTTCATAGCCTAAATATTGTGAGTCACATAGTACCTCACGATATTACATTATAATATTATATTGTATAATTACATGTAGAAAAGATTTTTCGTTCGGCACCGTGACATGTGAATTTAAGTATAGTTTATCTACATTCTATATGATTTTTTCATCAAATTACTAGGACATATTCACTGAGTTGATTTAATCGAAAAAATCTTATTCAACGATCTGCTATCGCAAACAATTTTTTTTCGTTTTCATTTTATTGTATGACACGTACTTTTCTGTTAATATACAGCTAAGTGAAAAAACTATATCAAATAATTCAACTACTCGTGTCATATATTATTGCATGGCTTTTTATATATTATACATTAAAACAATACCAAAATTTCAATTTAAAAAAGTTACCAAACCAGAGCTCTGGAGTTGATTACAGTATTCAGTTTTTAGCACTAATATTTATGTCAATAATTTTGATTCATTCAAAAATTTATTGCTTACTACATTATGTACATGCAAAAGTTTCAAAGTAAATATTTGTGAAAATCATCTGTATTAATTTCTACATCTCTTTATAACATTTTGATTTCACAAATGCATTTTAATCATTCATCTTTACTTGTTAAATTAGTTTAATTTGTTTCTTCTAGCCCATGGTACCAACTTTTGCACTTTTATGACTCTTTGGTAATTTCTGCACTTTATTACTTTTTATCGCTGACGAATATTTTTTGTCCTTTCTTATTAAAAGCTTATCTTTATGAATGTACTGTGTTGTACTGGTCAGAAATTATTTTTTCAAACGATATATACTTTTTACACGTAATTAATTTTGCATCAGTAAATTGTTTACTTTTTATTTATTCATTACAAAGTTACTATTTTAAAACATAAGCATAAAAATAATATATCTACAACATATTATTTTATGTACCTTTAATCATCTGTACAATATATTGTTTAGTACAAGTATTTATAAAATTTTGTTAGAATTTAAGCTAACTTTCTTTAATGAACACAAGAAATATTGACAATATTTCCCAGTCTTCTATCATTTTAAATTTTCAGAATTTTTCAAGAATACTTCCATCAATTTTTAAATGATGCATGAGCTATGAAATTATGAAAAAACAAAAAAAAGCAAATAATGACAATAAGCGTCATGATACCAACTAGCTCTTACTGGTGATCGTATGCATAACAATTATTTTATCGTCAGTAGTTTTCACTGGCATTTCTGTTCTTTTACGCACTTTCACTCGAACCACTTTTATACCACTTTTTCATCAACAGACTCATTCAAACTTTACGGTGAAGGTTATCTTGAAGTAACATCTTTTGCAAGCAAACACTGCTTGTATCGCGATCGTTATCGTAGCTTCATTTTCAAGCGTATGACCGAGTAAGCCATCACATCCAGAACAACGTACAATCCGACGAGGAACAGCACAGACACCAAGTAATTCGAGTTCTTCATGTCCACCGCGTCCAAGAGCGTCTTTGGCGAAGTGTAATGACAATAATCCTTGGAGCACTTCATCTTTGGTCTGTCGTACCTGAAACGTATACATTTAAACACCATTTTATTATTATCCAGAACTAATGACGATCAAACGAATGATCGAAGCCAGTCGAGTAGTACCCGTAAATCGCAACCATGGCGCCTTCGAAGGCATACTTGAAGAACGACGCGTGAAAGAGCCACTGGAGGTAGGGGTGGGCGTCCCGTATGTGCACGAAAAATCCGCTAAAAACGACGAAGGGCAGTATGGCGAAAGGCCCAAATATCACCCCGTTCTGAAACAAAATGACCCAACCATGCGATGATAATTCTCTTGAAACTGTTAAACTGACGATTTTAGACTCTCACCTGTACGTTGAAGATGGTGCCCAAAATCAGGCCGACCATCTGGGCGACGAGACTGGCGAGCAAGTATATCAGCAGACACAGTCCCAGCCTCCTGAGCTCCGGTATCTGGCCGCTCATCTGGTAGAAAATCAACGTGTACGTCGACACGGCGACTATCTGCACCGGGAGGTCGATCAGTTTGTTGGCCACGTAATACGCGGGCAGCTTGTACCAGCGGTTGAAGTGCTCGCGCGCCAGAATCGGCAACTCTTCCGGGACTGAAAAAAAACAACCAACCATCAGTCGACCCATACACGCACTTGCATCAAACATAACGATACAACAACTCACAGGTTATTATCGTGGTGTTGAAGGCGTTGTACATCAAGGTCATCGTGTTGAAGAATATCAAGTTGAAGTTGTCGATGGCGTAGGCCGCGTCTTGGCCGATCTTGTAGAATAAACAACCGACGAGGAACGACAGCAAAAAGTGCACCGCAAGCCTCGAGTAAACAAGCACCTGAAGCGTGTACAAACCATCGATACAAATTGTCGATTCAATAATTTTACACGTAGATATTTATAATATACCGACCCTGTCCCTGGAGAGTTTGAGCGCGTTGCGCCTGAGCAAAATGCACAGCTGCTTGAAGGAGCCCCTGGCGTAGTACGCCGAGCTCGAGGCGCCGATCTCGTGGAGAACGGCGTTTATGGGCAACGGCAGCTTTGGCAGCCGATCTATCCCCAGGGAAGCGAGTTTGCGGTCGAGGTTCGGCGCGTCCTCGCGCGTGCCCCGCCAGCGTTGCGAGCGTCCGTTCTGCGCGGCCTCGATCATCCGGGGCACGTGCTCGCCGTGCTCGCCGTTTATGATCTCTAGAACTGATCGGAGGATCGGTAACGCGGACCCATTGGGACGTGGCTACACGTATATGTACTCACGGTAATCGGCCGGGTTGTGGTAGGTGGGGCAGTGGAGGCCCAAGCTTCGGAGGTAGGGGACGAGGTTCCGCGAGCCGCCGGAGTAGACGCAGCAGCTGTCGGCCACGACGTACAAGTGGTCGATCACGTCGAACAGGACACCGCTTGGCTGGTGGAGGATGCAGACTATGGTGCGGCCCTCCCGCGCCAGGGACTTTAGAATGCCGATGCATTGACGCGAAGCTACGCTGTCGAGGCCGCTGTATTTAAAAAAACAATTTTTTTTTTTTTTTTTTTCATTCATTTCCTTCCAAGTGAACGATGGTATATATATATTTTGGTATACCTGGTGGGCTCGTCGAAGAACATGATTGGCGGGTTGCCGATGAGCTCCAGTGCTATCGCCAGTCGCTTTTTTTCGCCACCGCTCAGGTTCTTCGTCCTCGACGCTCGCACCGCCTCCAGACCCAGCTCCTTTATTATGACGTCGATCTTTAATTGAAAAAACAAACGTGTCTCAATTCGACTCTCCAGGCTTTCGAGAGTTCAAAGTTCAATTTGACTGTGGTGGCGCTGATTGTACTTTGTATTACATTCGGCGTCACCTCAGTCAAGTTTTGCGCCTACGCGTATGCAACCGTTGGTACCTCGGCGCTGTACCTGAAGTATAGTCGGCGGTATCGGACACACACAATTGTCGGTCGTTTGTGACTCAATTGATTCGAACGCGGTGTTCGAACAATGGAGTCATGGAAATTTAAAACTTTGGTGAAAAAATACGTTGACTCTCGCTGCCAAGTTCAGTGCGCGAGGCTATACGTATGTGTATGCAAGTCTGCCCGTCCATATCTCAGGGCAATTTTCTCATTTCACTCGTGCGCCATTTGAAGCGACCAGTTATCTCCGAAATGAGAAAATTATTCAGCGAGCTTCTCGTGGCTCCTTTGTGTTGCTTGTATTCTCTCCGGGATTGATAAAAGGAGCGAACCGTCGGAAGGTCAATAAATTGCGTAAAAGTTTCGGGACACCCGGCAAACAATTGAGCCGTTGCTAAAATGATGATTGTTTTTTGGCTTACGCTGTGGTGCTTGGCGGCTGCCGAGGAGTCGAGCTTGAGGTCTGCCGCTATCCTCATGGATTCCTCGACGGTGAGCAGAGGCTGCAGGTTCCCGTCTTGCATTATGTAGGCCGAGGAGCGGCGAAAGGCAGCCAAGGTCCGCACTCTGCCGTTCACCCGCACTTCGCCCGTTACGTTGGACTTTCTGCGCAAACGTTGGGGATCATCGATCTCAACATGGGGAAATTTTTGGTTTATATCATTCGAGAGTTTACCTGAACCCGGCCAGGATGTCCATCAGCTTGGACTTGCCAGCTCCGGACGGGCCGATGATCGCCGTCAATTCTCCCGCTCGAAATTCCCCGCTTACGTTTGTCAGTAGTTTCTTTCTCTCTGAAAAAAAAACCAAGTGTATCCTAAACCATATTGTCAGCTATTTGTTCTTCACTTGGAAAATCATATGTTTATTTTTTTTTTTTTTCGTGTTTCATAACAAGGTGTTTTTTTTACTTGAAAAAGTTTTAATTTCAATGAGGCTTTATCAAGTCTAGCGTTTGTTCGTCCATCGAATTTCGTGATGATTAATATTTTATCGATTCAGTAGTTTCTCAAAGATTTGCTGAAAATATACTGTGGTGTGATTGACGCACGACCTACCCGTCCCCAACTTTAGGTTGATTTAGGAAATTTCGTGAAAGCAAAATTTCCAACTTGTCCAAATAACACATCAGAATTCGCTGTGATCAACAAGGAGCCGCTAAGTAACTTTGTTTTTAACTCGTCGCGAAACTCGCGCAAGTAACTCCTACAATATAATCATATGTCTTTGTGTCGTCATTATTTTATTAGTCGATTCGATTACTTATGATTTTTTTAAATTTAATTCGACACTTCAACCGAACGCTTTCCACGTTTGTCACAAATTTGAGTAAGAAAGAAACCATGCTAATAAATTTCCTACGATTGCAACATACATTTTTTTTTTTTCCAATGACAGCGGTAACCGTACGTTAACTCACGGAACGTCCATCAAAAGTACAGAGGTAAAAACGCATGTTACAGGTGTGCGCAGCATGTGGACATACCTGTTATTGCACATAAATCATTGGCCAAACTCGTTTTGCATTTGAGCATTACTATATAGCAAAATATACGTACGTACGCCAAAAGCGTATATACATAGTATATACTATATATGCGACTAGAATGACAACGATAATACGTGCGCAGTACGTGTGGGTAATGTAAATTAAAGACGAGCCCGCAGTGGACGAGAAAAAGACGTTTCGTCGCGGTCGAGTAGCACACGTATATGTCAATAAAAATAAAATACCTCGATCTTGTTGAAATTAAACCCAATTGCCCGGCGCGGACCCAATTGACTTATTGTATTTCAACATGTAATCCCATTAGAGCCCATTCGAACGGCTGTCTTTGTTTTTCCTCTCGCGCACGAGCACATGTTTTACCGAGTAAAATAGACACGCCACGCCAAACAGTCGCGATTTCTATATTTATGGGTATACATATGGTTCATGTCCAAGATGCAAGCACTGATGGCTGGGAAAACAAAAATAAAACGACACCATTTCGGATTGAGTAACGCAAATTGAAGTAAGAACAGTTTCCGCAAGAAATATTGCGATCCGAACAATACGTATACCTATACCGACGCATCTCGAGTAAAGGGAACTTCGAATCGCAACATCATCGAGCGGGCAAGGTGATAAGGAACTATATGGGTGTAGTACTCGTTCCGCGTGACATCTCTTTTTTTTTTTTCTGTATTTTTTGGTCACTCTCGAGCGACGATCATCTCGAGGTGATAAGCTGCGAAGCGCGAGCAGAGCGAGAAAGAGACAGAGAAATGATGGCATCTTCTCCCTTTTGAGGCGGTACTTACGAGGTGACCACTACAACTTCGGCTCGCGAGTATAATATGATGTATGCATAATAGCGTTTAATGACGCTCACGTGACGGGCTGCGTTGGTTATATATATATAACAGTTATATTTGTATAGTAATAGCAGAGTTACTTGTACGATGCCATGTGCTGCGGCTCTAGCTTGGGTGGGTTATTTTGATATTTTTATGGGGATACGCGTGATCTATTTCGATGTATAACGAGTCTTTTTCAGACAACTAATTATGTACGTGTAATAAGTATGCTACTTTTGTACTTTAACGTGATGAAAGAAGAATCGTTTGATTACATTTACTTCGGAATTAAAGGTGATTTCATTTAAAAAATGATAATTTGATTTTTATTTTAACACGAGTAATATTTTGTATTTTTTTTTATTTATTTTTTTTTTCATTGAAAAAAGAGAGAAAGAAGATGCTACGTGCGTTTTATTCTGGAAAGTGGGGGATGTGCTTGAATGGTGAAAATTTATCTTTTTTATACAACTATATAATTATGTCCCTACTTTTTTGAACAAAATAGTAATTTGTTGTGCAACACTTTTTTCCTTGTATTATATCTCTATATCAAACTAAAAATCTAGATACGACCCTTATCTATCGAAGCATCGATATAGCTATTGGATTTTCGTCACATCGATTACCTTAACTAATTTTAAACGAGTACGTATAAATACCCCATTAAAAAATTTTTACATTTTCAAGTAAAGTATTATCAGTCCATAACTTATAAATACAGTGGTTTACACGGAAAATGCATCGTTTTTTTAAATATAGTCTTAAAAAAAAAAATGGCTCATTTATGCGGATTGAAATACTAGTACAGAATAACTTAAATTTGAATACTGTAAGTACTGCATTTATACAATGAACCTATTGATACAAGTATTGCTGTAGTAAAAAAAGACGCGGTAATTTGAAGCGCGAATCTCGGAATATATTATCTAGTGAGATTTTGTGTTCAAGTGTTTCGCCCACCCGCTCTCTCACACTTTGGAGTTAATCGCCCCTCTGTTCGCACGAAGTGTGGGTAAAGATTAAATTGAAAAAAAAAAAAAGTCAGCGACCGAATTCTTATCGATACGACCTCATTGATAGTGACCGCTCTATAAATTCCACGCACGGACGCTAATGAACAAAAGAAAAAACCCGATCATCAATTCGGGCTTCCCCCCATTAATTATTGCTGCGCTGTGCCGAAAATGAATCCACGAAATTACAACAGTTTACATCGAGTCTGCGTGTCATTCCGCGGCTCGGACAATAAAACGCTATTAGGGTACACACCACTCGAGCGTACAAGAAAACAATTTTCATCATCCGACGTGGCGAAAATTTTGTTTGCCTGAATACTCAAAAAACTGCACGGCTTGTTGTCATCGTTACACCGCTTTTTTTCTGAATATCGCACGTATACGGTAGGGTACACTTGTAATGTACAATTGCAAATAATTCCAGGACTCGGACGCTCGACAAATTTCATCGCGGAACATAAAGCATACCAATCGTACAAAATAATCGAGCATTGAAAAAAAAAGAAAAAAAAAAAAAAAAAAAAAAAAAAAAAAAAGAATTATCTTATCGCGACACTGTTAATTGCTTTTTGTACAGTTGATTTTATTTTTATTTTTTATTGATATGGATTCCCAAATGACTGCCGCAAGCAGCGCGACGATAAAAGCACTTGATGCAAGGAATTCCTCGGAATATCAGTCCCAGTCGACACACCCTCGCGTCCCCTGTACATATAGACACACCGCGAGGACAAACCTTGAAAGCGGAAGGAAAATCGTCCCTCGTGGAAGATCCGGTTGCGCACGACGTAGGTGAGATCGTCGAAGGTGAGATTGAGCTGGTTGGCCCGGGCCAGGGGAGCCGCGCCGGGCGACGACATCCTCGGGGGAGTCTCGCTTTCTCTCTTCTCACCAGTACAAGTACCCCTTGGCCCTTCTGAATTTGGAAAATTTTTGTTGCATTCACCCGTTTTACAGGGGAAACGGCCCAAAGGGAGGCTCTCACCTGCAGAGCCGGGACTCCCGACCCATGGCCGTTTTGCTACCGATTTTTCACCGATCGCTCGCACATTTACAACCGTCACCACCAAACAAAGCACATAACGCTCGTTTCCCTAAGACAAAGTGGCCATCGCGAAAACTCTCGCGGCGAGTTGCACACTTTATAGATCGACGCACTAGCAAAACGGGGGTGAAAAAAGCGCGAACTTATATCTCTCACGAAGCACGTGGCAAGAGTCGAGCGGCTGGCTCGGCTACGCGAAGTCGACTGGAAACAAAGTGCAACCGATGCCCACGGACAAAGTTGCTCCCTGGCATCCGTCGGGTCTAGCTACTGTCGTCATACGCGCGTTATAGCGCTGTACTATCACAGCGCGAGAACAAATCGTATACTACGCGCAAATGTGTGTGTGCGCGCAGCCAGCCGGTTGTCTACGCGCACAATTATAGTACCGATACATTACGCGCTTGTTCATTTGCCCGTGATGTGCGTACATTGGAGGAGATGAAAAAAAAAAAAAAAAAAAATGAACAGCTGTTATCGTGTACGCTCGTGCGGAGGTGTGGGAGTGAGAGCTCTTTCTCTTTCGGTATTTGCGAGCGAGGGGGTTCGATGGCAGCTGAGATTCTTTTTTTTTTTAATTGCTCGTATCTCGTTCGGATCCGTTGAGATTTTTGGGGCTGTTCTTTTTTTTTTTTTTTTTCGTTAAGTTTATCACCGATTTCTTCGAGTGTCGATCGAGCCTGACCTTTGTAGGTATGATCGAGTCGTAGAATTTATATTGCAATCGTTCAGTGACTCTGATGCTGAGGTGCAATCTTTTCCTTGCAAACAATAGTAGCTGACGCGGTTGAATAACCGCGCGTCGAAATTAATTCGCCCTCGGATGGAGATAAACATCAAGATAAACTCAGGACGATGAACGATTAAAGGGAAAATAAAAAAAAAAAAAAAAAAAAAAAAAAAAAAACGTTTCTCGCGAACCGCTTCATCCATCATCGATTCACCTTTGAGACGCGTTCGCTCGTTATACTTAACTTTAATTAATTACACGTCATCCACGTCACGGCCGAATGCATTTTTTCACGCTTCGTAGTCCCGATTACTTATTTCTCGCATCAGAATGAAAATACAGAAGGAAAAAAAAATAATTATTTTTAAAACTATCACCAACGAACTGATCGTACCGCGAATACTACACACTGCGAGGGTATGAAAGAAAAAAGTACGTATACTCGTTAATTTCGCAAATCCAATTCTCGCGCCCTAAAGGCAATATCAACTTTGTTCGACCCTTACCCTTTGGTGTAACCACATGCATACAATTATAGCGCAAAAGTATAGTCAATGTATACAGTATCGATCTTATCAGCCACTTGGCAGTAGTCCGTCGGAATATTATAAATAATCGTTCGTCCGCTTCGCTTCGCCGGCCGTACGTATACTATAAATACACGCCCTCATCCCAAGCTATATAGCTGCTGCAGTTCGAACGGAACAAGTGCACGTATAGGCGCGCACATCGTAGCGACGGCCGGCTGGTTGGTTGCAATTCGCCGATTAGTCAATTAGTCAAGGTCCTCGTGGAGATAAGTAAGTATTAGACGCCCGGGCCGTTTGCGCTTTTTAGATGCAAAAGGGTTTTCAAAAAAAGTGCGTTTTCTTTATGTCTCTTGTGGGTGTATAGGTGCTCTCGAAGTGCAGAGTTTTCAAGGTTGCAAGAAACCCTTTTTGCCAATCTCGCAACTTCCTTCTGCTGTATCTTTTCTTTTTTCTCTAATTTGTAATTTGTAAAACTAAGGTTGTCCTTTTCGCGCAATACCGTTAAATTAAATTTTTTTTTTTTTTTGTTGAATACATATTGCGAGCGAAAGAAAATCAGGTGCTATAAATATGCATACTTCATAATATCCTAAACTTGAAAGTAAAAAAGTAAAATCGTTAAAAAGTAATTTCAACACTACTCGTACCTCTGTACTTATCAAGTACAAGTAACAGATAGTTATAGTTATATCATGCATGCACTCGCAGCCTTGTGCTTGACCGGGGGTATTGCGGACATGTGTGTCTTAATAGATTTAATTTACACGTATATATGGACCTCCATGTAAATGAAATAATACATTTTATTGTTCTAACAAGTTTTATTATCTTCACCTTTCAGCTATTTATAATGAAGTAAACTCGCGCAACTGCCAAGTTCTTTGAACAATTAGATGTAAGAATATGTCAATCGTAATTTGGATTTGGTTGAAACAGCCGTAAGAATTTCAACAAAGTTACCTAGTGATTTTTTAATCAAAAATTTTTATGTATCTGCTTTAATCACTTCTTAAAATGAAATTATCGAATTCCAGTTGTATCTCCTTATTTGTAATGCTCTTTCTAGTATGGACATATTGTGATCTTGTTTGTAAACCATGTATGTTTCAAATTATTGTAACACCACTACTAAGCTAATTGAATTACTTTCATTGCAGGCAGTTGTGACCTGAACCGCCTTTTCTGTTATAAATAAACGATATTTATATTATGTATATTAAATCTATGAATAAACTTTTTTTGTAATCTTACGCATTTATATAAAGTACAACTTCTTTTTGTATCCTGTAAATTGCGATCAAATGTTTTCAAACGTCGCAAATTGCACGTGGAATCTTTTTTATTAGATTTATAGCTTGTATAAAGGAGAAAACTGACTCCCCCCCCTTAATATAATATATTTTCAGGTGACACATATTCATCGTTGGTAAGAATTTAGTTTGAAAATTTTAATTTCATTTTTTGTATAACACAAACACCAAATGTATAATTACTTTTAGAGGAATTTTTGTTACGAATAATATATAAACCACACCATTTATTTCTCGTAAATGGCGTGCTCACTTATTTTACTACACTCTAATAATGCGTTTTACAAATGAAATATTTTTTCTTATGCACAAATGGCCACTATCTTTCTCGAGATTACCTATAGTTATAACATACTTTATGAGCTAATTTTATATACTCAATAATACATCATGATATGATAAAATAATGAATAACAACTTTTTACTATCAAATAATTTAAAAGTTTATTCAGTAATTACAAAAAGGTTTGATAAAACCCAGAAAATTCACTTACGCATCTACGTAGTATACAATTTTTTGATTAATTTACGACTAGTACTTTACTAACTTGTTTCACCAATACATTCTGACAAGTATCTCTTTCGAGCCTTAATTTACAATTTTTAAGTTCTCATAACTTAAAGTCAAAATCTATTTTACTTTTTCTATAATAAGTATAACAAGCGGCAAATGAAAAGGTCCACGAGATATTTTGTCCTTAACCATAGAAATTATTTTTAACTCATGATAAATACTGAAATACTTGCACATCGCGCAAAATCTAAGGATAATTATTTAAATGAAGAAAGAAAAATAAATCTTACAAACGTGTATTAATATTCTAATTGATTTTAGATAAATGTAGAATATCATAAAAATCCATAGTTTTCCCAATCTTTATATTTTCACTTTTTTATCATTAATATTAAAAAAATCGATTAAGACATCACTTCTCTTTTCTATTTACACATATTAATAATCATAAAGTGTTGTCAAAAAACTACAAGACGATAATTTACAATACAAATCACGAATGATGTGTTTTTACCTTATGAACTAGAATAATCGCCAATAATTCAAAGCTGTCGCCACAAAAAACACATTATAGTACGATATCAACAAATTTTTACAATAGCTATAAAATATCTATGTATACATAAGTAAAGAGAGCTGGAGAGTATGATTGTTGAAGAAGAACCTTAATTACTCTTCTTCTATCCAGAATCATACAGTAAAATAACGACCAACGCTGCTGTACAAAAATTCAACCTCTCGTTTTCAATTGATTTCTATGGTGATTTTCTGTAACTATGCATACCACCTTAGGTATAATAAATAGTAATCTTTGCGCCATCAATAAAATAGAGCGCAAAACTCTGTGTCAGGGTTCAAACTTACATAATTTAACGCACATGAAAAAAAGGCCATTAAAAATTTATCGGGAACAATAAGGAAGTCCTAACAGTGGTAACGATCGGAAAAACCTGTTTGTATCGAAACTCTCGAAAAGTCACACACACGCACACACACCAGTAGACTGAAAAACGAAACTCGCAATAAAAATTCATAAAAAAGTCACTCATGCTCGTTAAAAGTAAGGTTGAAAACAAAAAACTCGACTCTCGCTTTTCTCCACTCCGACGGCACTTTGTATATGTACAAAATTTACACTAGGCAAGCAAAAAATTGTTCAAAAAAAAAACCTGCGGTAACTCACTCGCTGAGCTCACCGGCGATTGAGCTTGCACCAGAGGGCGCTAGCCGTGAGCAGATGCATGAGCACACCCATGCTGACGATGAGGGTCAGATTCTCAACGACGTTAGTGTTGAGTATCTCCATCTCCTTGAGGAACTTGGTCGGCTGCATGTAGTGGCAGTAGCTCAGATCGTCGGGCAACTGTTCGCAGTAGAGGTTAGTTCTGTTGTGGCCGTAGACGGTCATCAGGAGGCTGTGGAAGCCCGCCCGGAAGTACGAGATGTGGAATATCCAACGAAAGCCCTTGGGTGTGTCGTAGTAACGAATGCAAAAGCCAAACACCGAGAAGAGCACGGCTATGATCGGCCCAGCGAACACGGCAATCTACGATTTGAAAATTCAAAATTTGCAACCTCATCGACCACCGGTAACGCAGGAATCCACAAAAAAAAATCCGCTCCCAGTTTGGTGGCAGCACCAAAATTACCTTGACCGGAGTGGTCGCGCCGATGAAGAAGCCCCACGCCTGGGCGCACAAGCTCGCCGCGATGCTCACGATCATGAACATGAATACCCTCTCGGCCTCGAGGGGCTGGCCGGTGAGCCAGTAACTGACCGCGAGGTACGTGGCCGCGCAGGCAGCCTGGAACGGGACCTCGATAAGGAGCATGCTTATGTAGTAGGGCGCCAGCCTGTACCAGCGGTTGAAGTGCTCCCTCGACAGGATCTGCATCTCCAGTGGAACTGGAGGAAAAAAAAAGAAAAAAGAAAAATTTTAAATAACCGAACGGTTGAAGGGCGCGTGTCGATGGTTGTTCACTCACAGGCCAGCGTCACTGCCATTTTGCCGGTGTAGACGAGGAGCAGCAGCGAGCCGTACAGGTATACGTAGTTGGCGAGCACGCCGTTCGCCCGGTAGCCGCTGCCCATGTATAGGTAACCGAATATTATACCGATCAGCAGGTGACACATCAATCGGACCGCCAGTAGGAAGTAGTCGCGCTTCAGGCTCATCAGTTGGCGCTTGTACAGCAGGTAGCACTGGTACAAGAAGCTCGCGGGCACCGGGGGTGGCTCCTCTTTGCTCAGCTGGTCGTCTTCTTCGCTGCTATCGACTTTTTTAGCTGTAAGATACACGTGGGTATTTTTTTTTAGTTTTCACTCGCGTTCGAATCCATAACAGTAGCGGTTCTGTGCTTATAGGCTTACGTTTGGAATCCAGGAGCGGCTTGATGGGCGGGGCGATCGTCTTCTGGTTCTCGTTGCACTTGTCCACCGCCGCGATCAGTTTGTCGGTCGTGATCCCGTAATCGCCGATCGCCACTTCCAAAACTACGAGTGCAAAGAGAGGGAGTCCATGTAAGCGTCTGTCGTTTGTAATTTACAGTGAGGGAAAAAAAAAAAAAGAAGAAAAGGAATAAATCAACTTACGAAAATCGGCAGGATTGTGGTAAGGGGGGCAGTGCACGCCGAGGGAGTTAAAGTGCGGCAGGAGACCGCCGACGGGGCCGTTGTAGATGCAGTGTCCAGCGGCGAGGGCGTACAGCGAGTCGAACATCTCGAATTGGAGGGCACTGGGCTGGTGGATCGTGCAGACTACCGTGCGACGCTCGATGCGGGCAAGTCGTCGCAGAAGGGCTATGCATTGGCTGCAAGACGCCGAGTCGAGACCTGAAAGCGCGGAGATCGGCGTGTGATCATCGGGAAAATCGGTATGACGGAGATTTTCTAATATATACCTGTCGTGGGTTCGTCGAGGAATAATACTGAAGGATTGCTGAGCAGCTCGAGAGCGACGTCGAGCCGTTTTTTCTGGCCCCCGGATAATTTGCCGCACAGCGTGTCGTAACAGTGACTTAATCCTAAAATTTCGAGCAGCTCCAAGACCTGAAAAACACACACGCATCGTTAAGTTATGCAATGGCTCGATTGAACTGTGGAAACTAGTAAAGGCTTATCAAAAAACTTTACTTTTTTTTGTCTGTGTATTTTTTTTTTTTTTTTTTATTATCAAAAAGCCGTTTCTAGGCGAGGGTCACTATGATATCGTCGAAGCAGTGCGTAAAAACTAATTGACGTCGGAAAAAACAATAATTTTCCTCGATTCGCAATCGCATCGCGCTTGAGAAACGGACATTGTAAACGCGCACATGAAACAAGTGAAAAATCCGAATGTTGCATCGGCGCGTTATCAGCGAAAGTTTCAATGAACGCTCGTGATCTTGTAACTGCACTTTTATTCATACGTACGGCGATTTCATTCTTTTTGCTTCAAAACGTCATAATTTCCCAAGCAAATTGTTTCGGATTTCACGATTTTTTTCCGGAGAATCTCGTTTACCTACGCACCCAAGGCCCAATAAAAATTCAACCTCAAAACCATCAGACGAAAAATGAAAAAAAAAAAAAAAGAAGCTTAAACATTAAGTATATTTTTTTCCTCGATGATAAAAAAAAATGGTAAACAGGCCGTTGCAACAGAGCCGCGCACGCGCATGCCATATTTCTCAATTGTTCCGAGAGTTTGCGAGAAATCGGTCTAATTACGTACATACGGTTCACAATTGCGTCAAGCGGAGCATTTTGAATTGGCCAACGACGGCAGTACTTATCCTCGCAAGATTTGCGGTGAAATTAAAATTTGTTGTCGCTCACGAAGCATTCATGGCCGATAAAAATTTCTTGAATCGGCAGTTTGTATCACTGTCTGCCTCTGCAACTGCGGGGCCTCGCGTAATATACATACGCTATGTCGTACACAAAATACCGATTAAGGCTCGAGTATTTTTAATTATTGCCCCAAAGTCAAACCAGTGAAACTCCATGCATCTACGATAAAGCCGTTAAAGTCCTCAATTTCGAGATGAAAAGTGCAGTGCTAAAGTCATCGTAGTTCCAAGGCCGAATGCAACTCACGTACCGATGTAGAAGCGTACAAACAAAAAAAAACAAAAAACAAACCTGCGTGTGCTTGATGCCGGAACTGATGCTAGAGCCAAGCTTAAGATGGGCCGCGAGGGTCATCGCCTCGCCGACCGTGAGTTTGGTGCGTTGCAGCGAGTACTGCTGGATGTAGCAGGAGGTGCGTCGCCAGCTCTGGCTGTTGGCCGTCCTCGTCTTTCCGTTCACGAGGATCTCGCCACCCATACCTTGTACCCTGTCACATCGAAGCGATCCATCAGATTATGTATATCATCTGTATATATAGAGTGTGCATCTAAACTATTTTCTCCTGTATATGACCCCCCCCCCCCTTGGGGCACGAGTCGATGATCGTCCGGCATCGCGCGGTTCTCCGATTTATGTGGTGTTGATTTCTCCGCGTGTCGCAACTTGGCTGTGTTTTTTCAGCGATTGCCAGCAGCGGTGGTCAATAATTTGTCTATACGGAATACAAGGAGGAAGGAGAAAAAGTGGCCGAGAAAAGTGAAAACCGATTTCCATCCGATCGCTCGGTGTAAACGAAAATCTGATCAGGTCATGTAGTGCCGGGTTTCGCGATGAGTACGAGAAATCAACTCGAGGAGAGTATTTGCGTGTACGTCGTTGGATGACGATTTTTTTTTTTTTTTTTTTTTTTTTCACTACTCGTACGTCCAACCTATATACCTACCTACTTTGGTTTAAGAAACATCTTTCCTGCTGTTTTTTTGCATCACGCGAATATTGAATAAGACCGAGTCGTCGGACACGAGTGGAGAAGGAAAGAAGTGATTTTTCGTTTTTATTGTCCGTCACTGCGGACGTTGGAAACAGTTGTTGAAGAAGACCAGGTTCACTTTTGGATTTTTTTTTTTTTTTTTACTAGATACGCTCGAGAATTTCCCCGAGTCACGATTCTATTGACAGCAATGAAATGGCTTACGTGAAAATTAGTCGGCTGAAAATGTTTTGGAGAACAATTAAGTGAGTCGCGAACAATGTGCCATTCGTGGTGGAAAAAAAAAAAATACATTTATTGAAATGTAAATAAAAAATGCTGGATTTCCCAATCACCTGAGTGTAATGTATTGCTCAATGAAAAGTGTTGTACATGGATGTGAAATTATTTAAAGCAGAACTATTAAATGTCATTTTTGTGCATTACACTTCTAATGGAGCCCCCAAAGGAAATTTTCCGACGAATGCGCTGTTAATTCAATTAATTTCCATACTAGTTTTTTCTTCTTTCCTAGAAACGTTAGAAATTTTCAACCTCTCGGACCCCGCTACAATTGGTGAATCGGTAAAAGTCAAATGTGTACAGCATAAAAATGTGATAAAACGCAATTTTAATTGTATACTCCACTTTGGAGTCTACGATGCAATAACATCAGTGTGCCATGGAAAAGGAAAGTTTCTCTCGACTTAGCGGTAAATTTCGCAAAAATATAGGTCACCACAACCGTACGGATTGACCGCATCCCCGTGTAAACTAAATGGTCGAGAAATAAAAGAAAGAAAAAAAAAAAAAAAGAAAGACTTGGTTGCTTTCCAAGGCAAACTGGTATACACCAGTGCTGTAGAAAAATGGTGTTTTAATACTTCACCGAACGAGCTAATGAGATATTAAAAGTCCGGTGACAGATTTCGCATCTAGACGACGATCTCTGTTTTAGCTTTTTGCGACGATTTTATCTTTATTTCTCGCTCGCGAGTAAGCGAGGGCTTTTTCGATTAAGAGATTCGGAAAACGCATACTTTCTACGCAAAGTGGGCTGTAAGGTCTTTTTTTCGTACTAACGAGTATTTAATTATCACACGTGCGATTACTTGTTTGCAGGTGACGGTTGGTATTTTTATTACCGAGGTAGAAAAAAATCTTAATTAATTGCACTATTGCGGAGTAATGAGAGTTCACGGAGATCTTTCCCGATGAGTATAGCTTAAGACACGTCTTCTACACTTTTTGCGTCAATAAATCGTGCGACGTAAAAACAGCTGTCTCTATACTGAAATTTTAATTTTTTTTTTTCTTACGTACAGGTGAGAAAATACGGGTTTTTTCTCGATTAATTCGATCAATTTAAATACAGCAAGAAAAAAAAAAAAAAATCATCTTTGCAGCTCTAACGAAAATTTCTCCAATTTATCGTAGAAAAATCACGAGAGGAGCAGAAAAAAAGGGGGGAAAAGTTTTAGACACTTACGTAAATCCGGCCATCACGTTGAGGAGAGTAGACTTGCCAGCGCCCGACGGGCCCATGATCGCCGTGAGCTCGCCGGCCCGGAATTCTCCGCTCACGCCGTGCAGGATCTCCTTCGTAGCTGCAAAAATTAACGATCGCATACTTAATTCATCAATATATCAGCTACTCTTTTTTTTTTTTTTTGTATTCTCATAGACTCAAAAATATAAAAATATTCCGAAATTCCTTTTTCCAAGGAGCGCCGGAGTGCTCGCAACGAAAAAGATCGAAGGTTAGTGATACAAGGATCGATCTATTCTTGTCGTTTGACGATCTGTATTTTAAACCGACGCCTCTCGAAAATAAAAATAAACTCGCGAGTCACGTATATTTGACATGTATAGATTTTCAGACGCCGGCAATGGCTTGCGATACCACTGTCACTTCCGTTGAACTTCAAAGTCGTTTTTTTTTCTTTCTTTTTTTCTGCACACAAATCCGCGTATATCAACGCGTGTGTATATACGTACACTGCAACCATCATTTATCTTCGCTCAAGTTCAATCCTTTTAGTTATTTTTGTTTCCTCTCACGTAACGACGTTCGCTTACATCGACTACATTAGTCATCGCTAATTATCGTTTCCTTCTTTTGCCCACAATAGCGTATACTTGTACTTGTGTACTTCCGTATACACAAGCGCGTTTGCAACGATCGCCACGGCTGATGTCGATTTGGTGGTACTGCAAAAGCCGCGAGTTGAAGGATGTGACAGAAAAAAAAGCGCGAAAAACGTGCGTGATTCGTCAAACACAATGCGCCAAGTGGTATTCTCGAGCGAGTGCCTTTGAAAAACACATATCGCACGTGCACTGCGGGTCTGTCGTCCACGAAGATAATTGAACTTCATATACTCGTGGCACATGTATACATCTGGGCTTGTACTCAAAAATTATTGTCATACCCATTGCACGATACTTTAAGACGAATAAAAAAAAAATAGGACATTGATCACCACACCAGCGCGTGTCGACTATACTCCGATAAGAACGTAACGCGAGAAACGCTTGCATCTGTATACGTCGAAGTTTCCCTCGTTCCGCGATTAAAGGAACTTTTCGAGCAGATAAGTATAGACAAGAAAAAAAAAAAAAAAAAAAAAAAAAAAAAAAACCACGCCAACGAAGATTTTTCTCTCGCGGACAACGACCGACAGTGAGAGGGCCTTGAGCCGAGCGCAACGATCCCGCGATCTTTTTTTTTCCCGCCCTCAAGGGTGACTCCGCGACGATTGAGTAATCGAGCTTATCGGGAGAGGATGAAACTGTTTACCGTATCGAGCGGCTGCTGGCTTTTTTTTACGCGCGCTTAAAGAATTCGCCGGACTCGGTGAATTTCGACTCGTACGTTGTATACTACGAAGGCAGAGTGTGGCAAGCTATAGGGAGAAGGTCGCGTGCGGCATAATATCTTCGGAGTACGTGTAACTGGATGTCAACAAAAAAAAAACTACTTGCTATGGACACGTGGATGTTCCAAAAACAAGGTCATCGTGACAACTTACTGGATTGTGTGGATTGGTCATTGCGAAAATATGAAAAAAATCATCGCAATTGGGCGTCAGTTTTGACATTGCTTTGGCTCGAATATCTTGCGAAAGTATATATACTACTTACACCACGAGCTGTAGTAGAAAAATCAAAAAAAGTCCATCTATCTAAGAAAAAGAAGCTTACTAGTACGCATCGAGTACGGAGATAAGCCGAGAGAGAAAAGGTCAAGGTCACAAGACGGGCTTATCAATTGCGGTCACTCGTTACACGCACTCACACTTACGAACGTATAGAGCTATGCACTTATGCGTGTCGTTATGACACTCGAGGGTGGAAAAGTTTGTGTTTTTTGCAGGAGCACGTGTGTGGTCTACACACGTACTTTGTTGATACCTACGCGATGCGTCTTTTCATGATTGATATCGATTTTACTTGGTTTGGTTTGGACAGGCCAAAAATGAGTTATTGTTTCGATCAGTCTGGAATGACTTCCAGCCTTGATTGGCAATGGGTTGGGATGAAGGTTCGTTGGGGCGAGTAATTGCTGCGATCGGTGCAGCTCTGAAAATAACCATCAGAAGAAGCGATCGGCCTTTTCATGCTTCGCACGTTGCGATTAATGACTTTTGATCGATCGTTTTGTTTGCCGACCACTTTTGATATGGATTTTCAGTTTTATCGAGAAAAAATAAATTTTTAATCGAAATCAATAATTGTAGCACGAAAAAAAAGTACTCGATGATTTTCAATTACAGTTTCGTACGACTTGCGATGATGATTACAAATTTTTCGTCGCAATTTAATGAGCACCGATGATTGAAAAAATTGCGTAAAAACCGATTCGACGAGTGACTTTTCTGTCGGTAACTCGTCGCTCGGTGTAAGCAATCGCAACAATGAATTTCGGTGAATCCCCCGACTTTGACGCAAGTGCAACGCAGCAGACAGCGATTAGATATTACTTTTGTTGAGGGAGAAAAAAAAAAAAAAAAAAGCGAAAATCAAACGCTTTGATTGTAAGCTGTTGTTTAAAAGTCTTAATTAAATGGTGATGCATACTGCGATGTGATACTACAACTTGGCGCAAGTGCATTGGATTTTGTAATCTCAGGGTTATGACGCTAAGGAATCTTTTGCGCGTGGACGTGCATTGACCAAACTGTAGCTAAAACGTGAACAAAATTTGGCGGCAAAAACCATTTCAAGATACGGATGAATTATTATAAAAGCTTTTTTAAACTTTTGTTTATCCCTTTAAAAAAAAAAAAAAAAAAAAAACTACAATTCTAACTTTTAATATTGTATAATCTTTTGAAATTGTATTAGATACTTTCGTATACTCAAGTGCATGATATTCTGCTGATACTAACTTTTTCTTTTTATTTTTGAAAATGCAAAGGAGTTGAAACTACTATGCTGATATTGAGAAAAATGTACGTATTGATAATATTGTATTTGTTTCCATAACATCTATAATGTGTGATAAAAACAAACAAATTAAATGAAAATGTATACAAGGAGGTAAGAAAAAAAATCAAGTAATATGGTAATCAGTAGTGAAAGAAGAAAAAAAAATGTTGATAAAATCAATCATTTCCACACAAAACAGATACCATCGACAGGATATCCGTATTATTATTCATTTGTAACCCCATAAGATTTATTTCCGCAAATCCTTATCCAGCACGCAAGACTCGCTGTGCCTTTGGAATCCTCTGGCACTTGACTGCGATTGATTTCTCGGGGCCTCGGTTCGATAATACACGAGCATAAAAAATGAATCGACAAAGTGCATTCACGCGCGAGGGAGAGAGAAAACCTTACACCCTATCGCTCGTATGACTAATTAGCCAAGGCATTTAAAAAGCTTGCAGACATGTGCAACAGTTGGGGAAAAAAAAAAAAGTGAAAGATAACTTTTCTCTCGTTCATGGAAAAGTATAATGACCAACGCTTCTCGAAGCGCGATACCGACTCCGGCAGAATCCTTCGATTTTTTTTTTTTTTTTTTTTTACCGCCTCCGTGGTACACAATGCCTGTACTTATGCTTTTCGAATGAAAAGAAAGCCGATTACCTTACTGCATACAGCTCGCTTTGAACTCACGCGCAATAATAGCTTGAGCTCGCGTCTTTATTGGAGACAAATAAAAAGCCTTTGTTGTGCAGCCATTGTAATGTTACGTCAATGTTTTTTTAACAAATAGTTCTATCTGAATAAAGCATTGAGAATAAATCCTCTGATTTGAAGTTTTATGGAACATCATGGCTCACACGCGCATTTCTTGGATGAAAAATGTGTATGATATCGGATGATTATTATGACGAAATTTACCGAAAAGCTTTAAACTGTTCTCAATGAAAAATAAAAAAAAAGTGCTGAATATGTAAATAATCCTTTGATATTATCAATATTGACGCAATAGAACCTTTGACAATGGCGTAACTGCGGCAAAAGCTTTCAGCTGCATTTTTAATAAAAATACTGCAAAACTGCGCAAAAAGTTTTAATTTCCTTCTTATGAATCAAGTCAATAATATGTTACAACCGACAATTCAGAGTTCATAGTTTATAAAGATAATACGTAAAAAAATTTTTTTTTTCCTTTCAGGAGGTGATGTAGGGAAAACGCTCGAGACACCAATAAAATAAATCAAGGATCGCGATAAGTCAAGATTTCAACATCCTCGTTTTGTTTCGTCCTCGAGTGAAAACGCCAACCAAACTTTGACAACGCGCTGAAAGTCACACATCGTGTGTTCACCAGGAAACAACAGGTAATGCATGCAGGTACTCGTGTAAACCAAAGTGCTACTGGTTCTTTTTTTTTTTTTTTTTTTTTTTTTTTTTTTCTTTATAAAAACGGCAAAAAAATTTGATTTAAGTGAAACGAACGACAGAAGAGCAAAAAAAGACTCGTCACTGCGGTGAAGAAGGATCGTGAAAAAAAAGAAGAAATTACAAAGATAAGCTCGCTGGAGCTCGCGTGTGTAACCTTTGATTTTTTTTTCTCACACGCGACACGCAGAAGGAAAATCAGAGAATCCGAACTTTTTACGCGACACGTCTCAATAGCTCGAATGGATGTACTCGTCAAACTGACACTCTCCAGAGACACTTCTTGGAACATCCTCGTGTCGATAATGATGAGTGCATTTATTGTTGCCAATGTGCGCAACAGAAACGACGTAATTGTGGCTATTCCTAAAAAAAAAAAAAAAAAAAAAAAAACTTGCATTCCCCTGTGGGCAATCAATTGTTAAACGAAACGTGATATCAAAGTCCATCCTCTCGCTCGTTGGGAACAAAAGTAAAGACGATGATGATGAGATGTGAAAAAACCCGAGACAAAGAACTGGTCGGGTATGTACAATGGAAGTTATGAAAATGTATAATAAAAGAGATAGAATCGTGTTTTTAGACGGCGATTATAGTCATCGCTGTCGGTAAGAATTAAGTGACGCTGACACGTGACATATGATGTAGTGCTCGGGATCCTGTATCGAGTCTCAAGTCGCGTTTTCCCGAAGACTCAATTTCTTACTTTGGTTCTTCAAAACTACAACATCGCAGACACGCCTCAAGAGGAGCATACACACATGTTGTATCGTGCGTAAACTCGATGATCGAGCAGTGAATCATTCAAAAATTATATATAGATATTGACAACATCATACCCACATGTAGGAGACGCCACTGCAGTGACGCAAGTGTAGGCGCGCGCGCGTAACATCATGCACACAATAGCGTTGAATTATATTTTTTTTAATACCCATAATTACGCCTTTGACTCTTTTTCTCCATGTGTAGCTCTTGTTGATCGCATTTGATCATCGAATTACTATATTACCTGATGAATCTCGAGGAGAAAACAAAAAAGAAGATTATGGTCGCGCTTGTGCGTAAAATCGTCCTGTGCGCGCGGGTCAATAAGTACACCTACATAAACACGCAATTGGATGATTTTGCTTTTGCGCTGAAATTTCAATCAGGAGAAAAGTGTAATTGTTTGACAGAGCGGTGATTTACCTGCCGTCGAGTTGGTATATTCTTTTGCGTTGAACAGTGGATTACTCGCACGCATGAACTTGTTTTTTTTTTTTCAATCACGTGTCCAGTAAACGTATGTATCGGATACAGCATGTAAAATGAAATATTCTCTTTGTACGGCAAACAGCGAAAAATAACGAGCGAATCTTCCATCGAGTATAGAACTAAAAAATATTTTTCCACAGACTGCTGGAGAGAGGAGAGCGGCAAGAGTTGCGCTTGGTTACGTGTACCGAGTGGACTAAATACTTACAGGCCGAAAATTCTCACGCTTCCGCTGCCGAGACAATGGCAAGGCCTCTCTATACACTTATACTTGTTGTTTCTTCGTCTTTGGCGATTGGATGAATAAACCATAAGTACAGCCGACTAAGTACGTGTACAGCTGATACGTACGTATATATATGTTATGTGTATACTCAATGACGCCGAGAAGCGGATGCGCGAACCCGTCATAAGGCGAGTTTGTGTGCGTGTGTGTTAAAAAATCAAAGGACTCGATTTTGGTGACGATCGTTTTTGATTGACGCGAGATTTGCTAAGGTGAGTTTACGCGGAAGAGCAAAAAATGAATGGGAACATTTTACGCGATAAGGGGCATTCCATGCGATTCTCATAGTTTAGGGAGCACTTTTCTATAGGAGTTCAAATAGGATCTGTTAAAAGCGAGCATCGCATCGACCATTCCGAGCCCGATCGTTTTCATTTCGTCGGTGCGTCGCGCAAAGTGATGAGTGTGTAACGAAATTCGCTCCTTTTTTTTTTTTTTTTTTCTTACATAAATACGAAAAAGACGCCTATCTCCTCTCTCCATCGCATGTAGATGCATCACCGCCCAACATTTCAATGAGACGATGTATCAGATAAATACGTGGAAAGAACGAGTGATGCCAAACAAAAAGTCGTTACAATAGAGACTGCCTTAAGAAAAAAGGGTTCTTGCTTTTTTTTTCTCACAAACTCCTACCTTTACTTTCTCTACTGAACGTATATGCATTTGATGAAAACGCGCTCGCGGATTCAGATGATGGACACTGTGGAAGTTTTTTTCAAAGTTCGCTTCGACCGGGAAAATCACTCGATAAACTTATGTGTGTGCACCTACGTCAGAAAATTTTATCTCATTTTTTCTAAGTTATTTTAAATAAGACCGCGTGCGATCGAGAAAAAAATATTCAAAACGAAAAAAGTGTGTGTACCCCGATTATCGTGGTCAAACATTTTAATGCCGCGTGTAAATTGACAGGCTGTAACTCACGTGAGAGAAACCGGTCCTGCGGCACAGTTTATAGCCTATCACTTTTTGCCTATTGCACGCTCGATTTCGTCATTCGTACTAAATACAAATGTTGCATAACAACGTGTATTATGATACGGGCGTAACACAAATTAAGACTGCTCCCATGTACTTTTGACACAATTTTGCTCATGAATATACAATAGGGCGAAATTCGATAAACTCACGCGAATATTTCTCGAGAAAAAAAACAAGCCTTGGTTACTATTTATTTTTGCACAAGACACTTTCACTTGGTATTAATTTCCTTTTTCTTTTGAGATTTTTTTTTTTTTTCATAAGAATCATCGGAAATTTATCGGTCATACTTTTACACTTTTCTGGTGTTTGGAATTTTGAACGATTTTTCCACGCACTTTGTAGTAAAATCATTACACATTCAACCCATCACCCATCAACAATCGATTCACTCGATGAACCCGTCATCGCTTGTGATGTGCTTCGACTAATTGCAAAAAAAAAAAAAAAAAAATTCTCAGTTGAAAACGCGAGGAAAGTAGTTCACAGTGAACAAAAAGCCCAACTGAGCCGCTCGAAGTGAAACCGAAGCGAAAGAGCGAGCCTTCGTAAGAAACAGGAACTGGTTTTCGGGCTTGTACCAGAGGAAACGCAATGGACGCGACGACGAAGGGAAGAAAAAGCTGATTCAACGATTAGTCACGCGACCCGTGTTTTCCTCATATCTTCACCGAAATTTCGGTACACGAGGAAACAATACCGTTTGCTCGTAAAAAAATTACTTTCAAACTTAATCTTGGATCCCATTTTTTTGGCCTCCAGTATAAACGTAGATACCGTTGTATGACACACGGTGCTAAAATTATCCAACGCATGAGTTCATAAAAAAGCGGTGCTAATTTTACTGCCCACTAAACTCCGTAATTTTTTTTCACCTCCTCCTCGTTTGGAAGGAAAAAAAATATACCCATTGCCTCCGTCGTATACGCATCGTTAGGCTTTTTGTTCCCCACTTACGGTATACGTTTGCTTAACGACCGCATGTCAAGGTAACTGCTCCGACGCCTTTACTGTTACCGATCCTCATTTTATTGTTATTCCAACAAATGAAACTGCACCGATGAAAAAAAAAAAAAAAAAAAAAAAAAAAAAAAAAAAAAAAAAAAAAAAAAAAAACCAACCTGGCTTGAGAGTCTTGAGGTTCCACGATCTGACGCGGTAGGTGATGTCCCGAAACTGCAGATCCACCTCCGGCCTCTTGGGAAACTGGTGCTTCTCCTGCACAAAGTAGTTGTTGTTGAGCTGCGCATTGCCGTTGGCGCACACCTCGTTCACGTCGTTTTGGCTGCTGTTCTCGACCTGACAGCAGCTCAGCGACGAGCGCGACGGCGAACAGTAGGCTCCGTTTCCCGACATCTTCGCAAAACCCTTTTTTTCGCCTCGGGATCGAGAGGTTCGGTCGAAGAAAGCGAAAAAACCACTTCAAATTCTGTGTGCGGATCGGGAGCTTTGCTCGTCACCAGAAGGTCGTGCAGAGATCAGGTACAAAGTTCCATGGTGGGGCTGGATGCGCTTTATCTGCTATTCTACCTGAAATGGTAAAAACAACTGTTACGGATACGCCAGAGGTTCGAGGGGCCATTTAAATTTTTTTCTCTGTCACAAACGCATCACTCAAGAGCTTGCATATATATATGTACGCCTGACGCGTTACAATTTTATCGATGTGCCACGTTCGAGACACAGACGCCCTAATGTCAGTGCTATCAGCGCCAGTATACGTCCGTGTATTGTACACGGGACATTTTGTAAAAAACAGAAACATTTCCCATGTCTCCTAATCAATTGAAAAGGCCATTTACAGAGTTTTGGCTTTAAAAACTTCTTTTAAATAATTAATAATAATTTTCAAAAGTCATCATTGTTAGCATTACTTTGATACATTTTAGAGAACCAAAAAAAGACTACCACGCTGTTTAAGTAATGGCCCCGGAATATGACAAAAGTAATACTTTCGCCAAAAATGTAACTGGTATATGTGCATGATGTGGATAAAAGGATTTTCTCCGAAGCCCGTGTAACGCTACCCATAACGATAATATTGAAAAAAAATTTTATTGCAGTTCCAATGGGACCAAAAAAATTATAACTCATTTTTTTGGAAAAAAAAGCATTAAAAGAAAAAAAATTGTTAGAAAAATGAAAAACCCCCTTTGTGTCTATATCTTAGCCTCCGAAATGAGCCGGTTTTCGCAAAATGACCCATATACAAGGAACTTCCAGCTTATCTGTAACAGTCAGACGGAGAAAGCGAGTAAACAAGCGTGCAACTCCGCGTCACGCGAAAATTCCAACTTTGCGTCAGATTTGCTCGTCCGACGGTCTCTCGGGGCTTTTATCGAAGAAGAGAGTGAATGACGAGAGCTTCAAGGGCGCGAGGCACGCGTATGGCGAGCAACCGATTTTTTTTCTTCCGCGAGTCCCACGAAAGCTTTAAAAAAAAATTTCCCCGAGAATGTCCCCTGATTACGCCGTTTCTAATTGGAAAGACTTAAATCACAGGACAAGAGAGTTCATTGGCCCCGGGAAAAGACTATACACTCGTTATCTATGCTTCGTTGTGTTTTGCCGATGCCGATTTTCGTGCGCGCATTAGGTATACGCGCTTGTTTTTGCGCCGAAAAATTCGGCACTCCTGTTATTTTGATCGAGTCGCCATGGGCGTCGGATTTTTGTTGTTTGCTCGCACTGCGTCGCTCCGAAAGCATCGCCGCGATGATAATTCATGTGCATGTTTTACGTTTTCTCGATTAAAAAAATATATATACGTGCAAGAGAGAGAGAGAGAGAGAGAGAGAGAGAGAAAAATCAACCTCTTGTCCAAGGTAGTAGGCGCACAAACTAACAAGGAACAGGAAGCCGCGTTTGTTTCGAGTACGTACCAAAGTACACGACGATCCGTAGGTGCGGATTAAAGAAAAAAAAATCGATTTCAAGCTATACATTAATCGAGCCGATCGATTTTCGAGTTTCTCGGAAAATCACTAGACCGCGCACCCATGCGTGTACAAAAGAAAAAAGTACTGCAGTGTTTAAGACATCGGTGATCTTCCGTTCAAGCTTTTTTGTCAATTTTCTTCCCCGAATCGGTCACTCGATATGCAATGTATACGTAACGAGTGTATATTTATATGGTACCGCAAAACAAAAGGGGTGATTACACCGGTAAGTGTATCGTGCACAAGTACGGCGCTTGCATTTTCGCTCGGAGGAGCATATTATATAGATACAAACGGAGCTATTGTAATATCGACACACATTATACCTGTATCGATAAGTTGCGTAATCATCGCGCACTACAACGAGCGCGATGGCCAAAAAGAGAACGGGAAAAGAAAAAAAAACGGTTTTTTCGGTTTTATAGGGAGCTTGCAGTGATTGCGGGTCACCTTCAAACGTTCGCCGTTACAAAAGCACGTACACACGAGCATATATATTATACCTACGAACACGCAGAAGACAAAATATACTTTGAAAACTCGGAGAAGAAAAGTAGTGTAGGTATACTAATTCATTCGGGCGCTTGCACGCTCGGCGAATAAAATCAAACGATCGCTACGGACGTCGTTCGCCGCAGCAGCGTTATTTGTTGTAAAACATATGCGCGCGCGTGTGTGTGTGTATGTTGACTCGAGCGTCCACCTTTTATACATGATTGTGCATTATATACATATGTATACGTGTATTGTGCATATGATATACCTACTTGATATGACGAGGATGCGAGCTTAATTTTTATATACGCGTGACGCTTTTTCACGTGATTCACAAACTGTGGCAAATTGATTCTTTTTTTTTTTCTATTGTTTTATTGCCGATTTCGATGTTTTCACCGTATCTCGAGCGTTGGGAATAAATTAAATTAAATTTGCAGGGTACGGGGAACAAGTAAACGGTATGAATAAAGTATATTTTACGAGAGCAAGTGGGTATAATGAAGGTTCGTGTGTGGGAACGGATGCAAAAGACTCACCTCTGAACTCCGAAGCCGATCCAGCGAAGGGAGCTTGCAAAAGTCACGACTGAACGAAACACGGAGACTGAAAGCGCAAGTAAACTTTTGGTGGGTACCAAAGTGCGGACTTTTTCGTTGGAACGAAGGGGGGGGGGGGAAATACACAGTCCGCGGAGGCGCCCTCGTTTTGCGAAGCGGGCCAGCGGAGCTCCGAGAACGAACTGAAGGAGTCGGCGCTCGCGGAGGCACTGGGCGCCCGAGACGACGGTGAGTCTTTTACTCTCTGGCCGCTGCGCCCCGCGCGACTTTAAGTTACGCGCTCTTTGCTCGCTATGTGTGTGCAGCTGCTGCGGCACTTGTGTGTGTGTGTGTGTGTGTCTGCGATAACGCTTTGCCGCTGCAGCTCGACGTAACTTTGCACGTGAAGTTTAAGAACGGAGACTCGCGATGAATTGAAAAAAAAAAAAAAAAAAAAAAAAAAAATTACTGTTTACTATACATCGGTGCTCCACGTGTAATATCACGCAGAGGAGGTGTTGTTGTGACCGAATGGGTTTTCGTAGATTGGATTTTACCGTTGCTCCAATATGCCGCACAACGATCCGTGCGAAACTCGATGTATCCAACGCTCGCCGAGTCGATTGACATTTTTTTCTTTTTTTCTTTATCTCACGTGCTCGATTTTCACGATTCGCTCGTACTGAAAGATATACCGTGCTTCTGGTGACAATAAAATATGTTATGACTCATGGAAAAAAAAAAAAATGTATCGTATGCATTGTTACTCGTACATATGACACAACATTGATGGTGTGTGTGTGTGTGTTCCCGATAATTCATATACGGAAAGAGAGAAAAACAAAACACACGACAAAGAAAAAAAAAGCTCCAAAGTAGAAACAAAAATGATAACAATAATAATAACAACAATAAAGACCAGCACGTGCTCTGACTCCTCAATTTTTCTCCGCGTGAACACGGTGTATTGTAAACTGCTCGAGCTTATACTTAATCGTCAGGTGCATCGCGATTATGTTTTTTTTTTTTTTCCTTTTGAGCTATACTTACCGTGTATTAAATTTTCATTATGCGCTCGCAGTTACCTCGTTGTAAAAGTTCACGTGGACTTTTCACGTGGAAAACAGTATTAGTAGATTTTACTGTGACCATACAGATGTGCGCGCTGAAGGACCAATGATGCCCCTTCAAGAGTTTTTTGCCTGAATTTTTCAAAGGAAAAAACCTCTCTAAAATATAAGTCGTTGACATGTACTTAACTAGTGAGTCTTTAATCGCTTATTATCGGTCCTACGGACAGTTGTACTTTTTTCGTAGGTCCATTGAGAGAAAATAATTATGAAAATTATTGTGCCACAGTGACACCCCAAATTCATACTACTCTGTCGTACAGAAATTTTTATCCATTGTTAAATAAATTTTTGTTATTATAAACAGTAATTTTTACTGATTGCACAGTGGTAATTTCTGTCCGGCAATGAAATGGTAAAAATTTGGTCCATGTATGGACGATGGAATGATATATACCAGTTAACGATTTTAGCCCAGAAATTTTGGTAACTCTTTTTTTTTGTCATCGTTCGGCAAACAAAGCTTGAGAGATGCGTTAGGTCGGGAAGTGACTCACACGCGCGCGTCGTTGGATAAATCGCTCTTTATTTCACGTTGTCGCACAAGTGAGCACATCGAACGCCGTGGTGTAGTACATATTGCGATATGACGACAACTGGACTTTTTCTCTTTGTGTATACGACGATGCAATGTGCAATAGTCTCCTATGTAATTGACGAACCTTGACAATGCGGCGCGTTATCTTGTACCCGATCGCGGTAACATAATATTATTGCGAAATCTTTGGCGTTGAATTGAGTGCGTGACATAATTCCGTGACGGCGACCGCGAGTTGCATTGCTCATCTCCGTTTGATTAGCGTGAAATTTTCTAATCTTCTAATGCGCAATGAACTGTTGATTTTTCCTTTGTAAACACATTTTTTACACTTGGGCTCGATTATATTATGAATTATCGTACATGAAAAAAACTTCTTTTTTTCTTTTTTACGGTATATTTTTTTATTCGTCACTATTTTCAGCATAATATGTAGAAAATGCGGTTCTGACAGATAAGTACAGTTTACTTTGTACATCAACATTTATTGTCAAGCGTTTGTTTTTTAAGTTATTTTTTCTCTCATGTGTACTATATTGTTTTAGCTGGAAAAGAAACATATTATGGCAGAAGTGGTAATCAAAAACATTTTTTTTTTTTTTTTTTACCATAAACAGAATTATTTTCAGACAAAAAATTACACTTCAAAAAATTGAAACAACTACCTGTACCCAAGTTTGATTATGCGAGATAGAAAAAGGCGATGTGTTGCAAATGCCATTGGTTCGCACTAAAATCGTAAATATTGACATTTGATTTTTTTACGCATCGATAAAAAAAATGTACAGAGGATTTTTCGCTAAACGGTTGCTTGCAAACTCGGTAAAATTTAAAGTTTCGCAACGTATCACGAGTGTCCGATTGATGTATACAAAAAATTGCCACAACC